CATTTTTTTATTAGTTGCAATTACTGTGCCTTGTTCTTTCACATGTTCATTCTTTCATCCTACTTATTTACTCATTCAGCACATACATCTTATGTACCTACTATGTCTTATGCTAAGGCGTGATACATCTAGTTAGAGCAAAACAGCACAAGCCTCCACCCTAGTAGAACTTGTGTTCTGGTTTCACAAACAATGAAAACGTGGTTGGTACCACAGAGAAGGGTAAAAGCAGAGACAAGGATGAGCATTGGAACCCTGAGGGGTGGAAGTGGGAAGATGAAGGTGTAAATGACGTGTAATGTATAGCAAGAATGCTCCAGATAGACAGAGTGTGTTAGGAAGCTGAAGGAGGTAGGATGGCTGGAGCTGGAGAGAGACCCAGAAAAGGGGATAGAGACAACATCAGAAGGTCAGGGTGATGTGGGCTGTGAGTGTCTGGAGGCAACTGAAGACTTGCGCTTCGGGTCCCAGTGAGATGAGGAGTCATGCGGCTATGGAGTGTTGGTGACACATCTGAGTCAAGTTTTTATCTTTAATATAGCTGCTTTGAGAAGGGTCAGTTGAGGTTAAGGATAAACAGAAAGATGATACCATGTACAGGTCATCACAGTGACTCATTCCAGGGAGGTGGGTGTAAAAGTGCCCATCCAAGAACACTTGGTCTCCTGAGAATGAGAACCATTCAAATTTGTTGACAAATTAGAGAACTGCAAGGGAAAGATGGTGGAACTGGGAATAAGAATACATTTGATCACATAGCCTCTCTGACATGCCAATAAAAATTTAAGAATCAAAGTGGATTTGGAGCCATTCTCCATGACTTCCTTTATTAAATAATTATAGTCAAAACAAGCAAATGCTGCACATAGCACTAGACATGTGCCACATGTTGTTCTTAGTGGTCCACAGACCTTACTTGATTTGACTTTCACTTTGATTTTATGTGTACCTCTTATTATTCCAATTTAAAAATTAAAAAAAAACTGAGACAAGAGAATTTAAATAATCTTCCCAAATTCAGACCCACAGGATATGAAATAAAAAAAACATTTGAACTCTATAGGAGCACTGACTTACCACCTTTTTTTGCGACCAACTAATGAAGAACTTGAGTAGCTCCAGGGTTTGAAAGTATGTGTTGTTCACAAATGTTCTACTTACAAAACACAATGGTTACTCAAACTATGCTGTAGCAATGCTAGGTATGTTTTTTTCCGATAGTGGTAAGAACAGGAAGAAGTAGATTACTCAGAGAGTTCATTTACACATCTGATCTGTGGTATTTCCATCTTTGGGGATGTTATAACTATATGACTATCTATTTAATGCTACATTGACATAACTTATTTTTGACTCAGAAAATCAATATACTATTTTTCTGGGCTGCAGTTTGACAATGACCTGTGGCCTGAGGATCAGATTACTTGCAATCAATCCTGGCTTCCCTGTTGTTGATGAGCATGCTACCTCCAACTGTATAGCAACTCTCTGGCCATGGCTGACCTGGCTTCCAGAATGTCTGTCCTGGCATTGCTTCAGGATATAGAATGTGCTCTCAGAGGGCCAGATATGTAGTGTACTTGGGCCTCTGACCCATGTTATCTAAATGCAAAAGTTTATTTCTCCATGTATGGTATAATTTGCCAAGAAACTGAAACTCAGTAAGTTCCCCTATAAGAACACAAATACAATTTGCCCTATAAAAATAGTCCCTCGATTTTTGCCAGTATATTCTAGAGTTTCTCCTAGAGGAGATTCAGGGAGAAGTCTGAAATGATTCAAAATCCTTGGTCTCTCTGTACCACAGCTGACAAGAACCAGACTAAGAGTACACAAACTGTCTTGTCAAGTGCCAGCCTTGACCACAAGCTGGTGATGCAAGCACTACCTTGCCTTTTATCTGATCCTCCACTTCCCCATATTCCAGAAAAGCAACTCAGGATCTAATTTCCTAATCATTTAATGGAAACTCAAGTAAGGGAGGTGAGGAAGGAAATGAAACAGTGAGAAACTTCTATTTAAAAAATAATAACAAGAAAAAGACATAAATGAAAGCTTCTCCATTTGCTATTGCCCCAGATTAATTTCTCTGTAACCAGCCTGGCATGATGGCACCCACCTGCAATTCCAGCACTCAGGAGGCTGAAAGAGGAGGATCTCTCTGTGTTCTAGGTCAACCTGGGCTACAAAGTGAGTTCAAGGCCAACCTGAACTGCATAGGGAGATCCTGTCCCAAAAAAAAAAGTAGAAAGAAAGGAAGGAAGGAAGGAAGGAAGGAAGGAAGAAAGAAAGAAAGAAAGAAAGAAAGAAAGAAAGAAAGAAAGAAAGAAAGAAAGAAAGAGAAAAATAGAATGTAACTTACACAGTATGGAATTGATAAAAATGACACTGTTCACTCATGTACACAAACAACGTCTCTAGTACCCACGTGTCATGAGCTGTGCTAGACAGTGGAATTCCGTGGAAATTTAGGAAAATATTTCATTTCATATCCACACTATCATATTATACTGCTCAGTGAAATGAAACAGAAGAGATATTCTTGAATCTCCTGCTATGCTTACACCAAAAGCCAGCCTTTTGTGCAGTACAGAAGGAATCACTCTGAGAACAGAAAAATCAACTCCCCCTAACACGATTTAATATTAATTTACCCCCTTCTCTGCCTCATCTGCTTTTTGAGGGGAGTCAGTGAAGAGGACTAACAGGGATATCCTACTGTTGGTTTTTGTTCAAGTTGTAATTGTCCACGCCTCCCCAATTACTTCTGGAACCTCAAACAATAAAACCTTTGACTCTCAAGTGCAGCAAAGACAACAAAAGCTTTTATCTTTGGATAAATTATTAATCATTGCGATATATCTCCCTTGACATCTGTAACACCAGAAAAATCAATTTGTCATGGTCCAGAGTGTGCTCATGACCGATTCGTCCTGTAATGTAGGTCAAACTTGGATTTGATGCTCTGATAAACAAAAGCATAGGCTGCAGTAGGACTCTCCAGTGCCTGCAGACCACAGCTCCAAGCAGGAGGCTCTGGGAAGTAAAGAGCCCTGCAACAGGCAGCACAGCACACCTCTCTCCGAGGCAGGACCTGGTTGCGGTTAGTAGGATAGAAGGGTCTCCAAGGACAGCCTTCACTCCACAGAGGCCTCTGCACCCTGCCACTCCAACATCAAAGAACAAGGAGAAGGGACTGCAAGGCAGAGACCTTTCTTCCTGTTTCAATCTTGCCCCAGCAATGGGTGAAAAATTAAAATTTTCTTTCTTCACCCAAGAAAGAGACCCAGAATAGAAAATGATCTATCCTCCAGATGGTTTTGAGGAGAGAGGAAGGGGGAAGAATACTTTCTCCATTTCTCTTTTTTAAAAAGCCGGCAGGCAAGTGCAGTTAAAAATAGCCCTAAGCTGGATTTCCCCTGTGCCTTTGCTGCCTACTCACTCATGTAGAAGCAGGTCCACACAGTGAAAAGCCAGAGGAATGGTGTCTGCTGCCTCTGAGCAAAAAGCTTGTAAATGGCTCATCTGGTGGAAATAAGGTCAGATGACTACTGTCTGGGGGCTGTACAGCGTGAGCGCCCAGGTATGCCCATCTGCATGTCTGTAGCCCCCAGTGGCCTGTGCTTCAGGGCTTCTGCAGCTTCTCCAGATGTACAGCACTTAGAAGGGCGAGAAGCACAGCTGTCTGAAGCCATTCTAGTTCTCAAGCTTTGCCCATTTGGCTATTCCTGGGTCATAGTGCCTACTGCTGAACTTTGCCCTAGGACACATCTTCCCTGTATGTCCTCTGGTCAGGGGAGGGTAGTAATTAACTGGGGCAAGAGTGGCCTGGTAAGAATGCTCACTGACACCAAGAATCTGTGTTGTCTAGATTGACTCTATGGATCAACAAGTTTGACAGCAGATCAGGCTGGTTTTAAATCCACAGCATCATTTAGCATCTGTCTCTGTGAAATTCATTTAATCCCTCATGTCTGGTCTTCCTCATCTATGAAATGTACCTCAACGGATGGAAAGAATGAAAGAGGCAACACAAAAGCTCTCCAACCCTCCATGGCTAAGGATATTTCAGTCACTGCTACAGAATAGTCAGTACCCCCAAGAGCAGAGCTGGTAAGCATACATCTGCTCTACTCATGAATCTCAGGGGCCAGAGGCTCACCCAAGCTCAGAGTGACAGCCTGGGTCCAGGTGTGTCATGACTAGGACCCAGGTCCTCCAGAAGCACCTTCACTCCTTCCTCACAGGCTGATTCTGAATGTCAGCTGGGACCTCAATGTGGCTGTCATGGACTGAATTATGTCACTCAACATCCCTGTTTCAGTCTTAATACCTGTTTCCTCAAAATGAGACTGTGTTTGGAGATAAGGTCTTTGCAAGGTGATTAAGTTAAAATGGAGTAGAGAGAATCCTGATTTCCTTTAAAGAAGAGGGATTAGGACACACAAATAGAGAGAGATGACCCCCTGAACATACAGGAAGTAGGCACCGTGCAGTCCAAGGCACCTGCTGCAGAAAGAACCAGCCCTGCAGATGTCCTGACCTCAAATTTCTGTTGTTGAGCATGCCCACTCTGCAGTACTGATGCTTGGGGGAACCTAGAAAAGGCTCTCTGGTGGCTGTGGTGCCCTCCCACCAAGCTGCCCATTTCACATGGCCAGTCAGAAAGTAAAGCCACATGTGCCAGTTAACAAGGTCGGTGCTGGGCTGCCCTCTGTCCAGCCTCAATGTAACACAGCTATATGACCACATGTGGTTGCGGGAGCCACACAACCCACCCATATGCAAAGGGAGGAGGAATAATGCTGCTTTCTGATGGCAGATTGGGAGATCTTAAGAGGAGAATGGAGGAGAAAGAACACTGTAATAAAAACCTGACTGGCACATGGTGTTTTTATAATAAATTGAGTAAGCTGCGATGCTTTTTTTTCTCTGACTGCATCTTATCTGTTAATGTATTACTTTTGGTTCTCAGACTTCTTTATTGTCTCCAACAACAGAAAAATCTTGGCACCTGCCTAGATAAAGGTTTAAGCTTCATCTCAGACCAGCTGCATCTTGCTAAGAAGAAGCAGGTGTCACCGCCTCATGTCAGCGGGAAGCTCCCGATAGCGCCATTTCCTAGAGAAAGGCCTGCCAAGCTCATTACCGTGTCCTGTGTGCTTAATGGAGCAATCTTGAAACTCTAAAAGTCACCTCGTTGAGGGTTTGTTGTTCTTCAATAAAGGTTGCGGAAGCATCGATTGGGAGATTTCTAAAGTCTCAGGATTGTCTGAGGTCACCAGGGTCACTCAGCCTGTATGATACCCCTTTTGGGTTATGGATCTCACATAAGATCTTTCCTACTTGCTACTCCTGCAAGACATTTATTCATTCACTTATTCAATCGACAAGTTTGCAGTGAATATTTACTATGTGTCACACAACATACAAGTTACTGAAGTGAACACACAAAAACACTGTCTTTCTCCCACTTGCAGATCTTACAGTCTAATGAGATAACAAACACTTTAAAAACTACCATTCAGATTCATTGGCATTATGTGCTATAATATTTTAAATTGTGGCAGGGCCTGGGAAAGAATGGACTGGATAAGGAAAAAAATAGCCCGTTTTTATAACCAAATCTTCAGATATAATATTGTTTTTCATTCTTTTTTTTTTTTTTTTCGGAACCAGGGATTGAACTCAGGCCCTTCCGCTTGCCAGGGAAGCGTTTATTCCACTGAGCCATCTCCCTGGCCCTTGTTTTTCATTCTTACATATAATTATTATTCAAAGTATTTACAAGACACCCCTACTACTGATTAAAGTGTAAGTATAACTATACATACAATTATAAAATATACAAAGACACTAGCAAAATATACTATAGGTGTTGTCATGAAGCTGACATCAGATGAGTTGACACTGGGAAGAAAGGCCTGTCCTCAGCAGGTGAGAGGAAGGATGCCCAGAGAGGTGTCCTCCCAAGATGCCAGAGCTGTGTGCTCACATCTACACTGGGACCCAAGCAGTGAACAGACAATTTAAGAAAAGTGAGGGCAAACCTTAGACTGCGGTGGGAATGTGGGCAGTGCCAGGGGAAGGGACAGGATCTATGTGCTGGGGATCTAGACATGCTCCAGGGAGATGGGGCAGAGGGATGCTGGTGCTAGGGAAGAAAGAAACCAGGTACGCAAAAGAGGGTGCCTGAAGCTGAAGTGACAGGGGAGTCCACTTATGGCTGATGGTGAGGTCTACACCATGGCTTCAGGAGTGGGTCACATCCAGGCATGGGGAGTCCAGTGTCAGGGACTTGCCTTTCTTGGCCTAACACAGTTTTGGGGAGTTAATGACCTTCTCCTCCTGAGTAATATTTCTCCTTGGATTTTCTCTCCTTCTTCCCCTTGGCTGTTTAGGCAGCCTCCCCTCCCTCTCCTCCTTGAATGGATGCTCCTGCTCTGACTTGACTCTGGCTGGCGCCAACTCTTGACTTCAAGGCCCCAAAGCAACACCCCACATGCAAGCCTCAGGCTTCTGCTCGCCTCACTTTCTTTCTTTTCTCATTGTCTCATTTATTCTCATGGCGCTCAAGACTATGGATGTCTGATGAATCCTACATAGGTACAGCCAGATCTCTCTCCTAAATATATTCTTATATCTATTTGCATAATTGACTTATATCTCATAATTGATATATTCAAGTAAAAGTCAGTTTTTCTATCCATGTATTTATGGTTTATAACTGAATAACAATATCATTACCAAGTTAGTATTTGAAAGCAACTCACATTATTTTAGTTTCTATTTGGTTTTCAACAGACAAATAAAAATTGCATATATTTACAGTGTACATTGAAATGTTTTGATATATGCATACATTTTGAAATGGCTAAATTAAGTTATTTAACATCTGTATTAGCTCATATATTTATCTTTCTCACACATTTTTGGAAGGTGATAATCTACTCTCTCGCTAATTTTCACTTTGCAATTTTGTTATTAAATATAGTCACGACAAATTGGTCAAGCAATGGTCGTGACTCATCCACATGGGTGACACTCACAAAGGATCTACAAACTGCAGTACAGGGCTTCAGGGTAAATCCTGAGGGGATTTGACTGACCTTGTCACATACAAAAGTTACATTTATAATGTTATATAGGTCTTGCTTTATCTTAGTCTTAATCATCCATCAGAAAAGTATGAAAACGAAGTAAAAAAGTAAAGCCACGTTAATATGCTGAGCTGTACAAAGCTCAAGTCTACAACTTTGGACATTGCCAGTCTTACGAAAACCCACTACTACTATGGACTACTGAACTATATTGGAGTATCTGGCTGAATTCATGTACCTACAATATTTAAATGGCAATGGAATACCCTTCTCTGACAAAACTAAACAAAAAAAGGGGGATACAAATGAATGACCATTTTGTATCTGTATATTCAAAATAGTTAGGATAGATATGTAGCTGCATTCTCTTAATTCAATGAATAGAGAGATTTGTTCTAATAGTGTTTGTGGATAGGATACCATGCCTGCATCTTGTACAATGATTAGCAACTAAGACAACAATATGCAATGTGTTTATTATTGAAACTGTCCTACTAATCAGTTTTGAAACTGTCTCATTGCTATTTGCTTCTCAATAAAAGTATTAAAAAATAAATTTTTTTAAAAATTAATATTGATTTAATCATCAAGGAAAAATAAAATAAATATGGTCACCATGACATTCAACATAACTCTCAAGTTCATTCATCCAATGGGAATAAGAGATACTTTTTCACTGGTATCACTCACCCTCCCCTGTAGCCTGTGTATTATCTAATCTTGTGAGTCTCCCTCTACATCTCACACACAAGTGAGATCTTGTGACGGCTCTCTGGGCCTTTTCACATTTTCTTTATCTATTTTTCTGCTGATGGACACTTAGGTTGATTTCCTAGCTTGACCATTGGGAATAATGCCACAATAAACATAGGTGTGCTTGCACTGATTTCACTTTTCCTGGCTGTATAACCAGTGGAGGGACTGCTGAATTATATTTCTTTCCTAAATTATTCAAAGAATCTCCACACATTTCCATAATGGTCATGCCAATAACTTATATCTCTACCAAGAGCAAACATATTTATTACCTGAGTTTCTATAGACAGGCGCCTGGGAGGGATTTCCTTGGGTTCTCTGCTTCAGGGTTTCAAAAGGCCACACTCCAGATGTGGGCCAAGCATATGGTCTCTTTTCAGGAAAAGATCTACTCCCTCCTGGTTGTTGGTGGCATTCAGTTCTTCTGAAACTGCTGGAGTGAGAGTCTCAGGATTGAAGCTACCAGGCTGTGACCATTCTCTTGCCATTTGGCCTGCTCTATCATGAACCTCACAGCACAATGTTCCTCACTTTGCATTTCTTCAAAGCTAGGAAGACATTTTTCTTTAAAAGACGAGTTATATTGTAGTGGTGCAAACCTGTTCCCTTTGCCCATATTCTGTGGGCAGAAGGACCCTACACTTCCCATCTACAGATGGGAGGATAAAGGGAAATATTACAGGGAGTGAATACTGTCAGCAGCAACCATAGGCTGTTCTCATGATGAGCATGAGACCCACCTTAGTGCACAGAGCCTTCACCTGCCAGAGACCAGGGTCAAAATTCAAAGCCTTCTTCCTCATATCCTATGTCAAGTCCACTAGCAAATTATGCTAACACCATGAGGGAGTGTGTCTAGCATCTGGCCACTGCCCAACCCCCAGCATTTCTGCTGTGGTTCAAGCTCCATCATTTCCAACTTGGAAACCACAATAACCTTCTGTAACACTATGTCCAGTAACACTGTCAAAATAGCTATAAAATTTGATCCAAAGTTGATCATGACACTCTTGTGCAAACACTGTAGTGATTTCCACTCAGACTTAAATTCCTTATGAAAAATTTCTAAATGGTCCTGTTACTAGGTCATCCCCTCTGCCTCACTGCAGGCCATATTCTCTCTCTCTGTTCCCTAATTCTCACCTTTTCCTTTTGTCACTACACCAGTCCTCTTCCTTGACTCAGCTTTGTGCACATGTTTGTTCTGCCCAGAGCCTTCTACCTATCCAGCTTCTGCTCTGCATCTCCTTCCCCATGAGGACTGTCCTGCGCATCCTGTTTATGGGTGTGTCACTCCAGCCCTCTTCTCTCCTCTTTGCTTCTCTCCGATTCATCACCTTTTAGCATAGATATGGCTGCTTGGTTTTCACATCCTCAGCCTCAAGTCCTATAAGATAAGGAGCCAGGATGGTAGGTTTTCTGTAGTACCCAGGGCAAAGCTGGAATTAAGTAGGTGCTAAAAAAATTCTATTGAATAAACAATGTGAACCACATCATATATTGTTCTTTGTGAAAAAAAACTATGATGTCTTATCCAGTGGTTTCTTTGATAGACTTTTGAACTGATGGTCAATCATGCTGTAGAGTTAGCACTGGCAAGTGCCAAGTGGCTTAATCGCTATATATATTCCTATACAAAGAACACATTTTTATTATTTTTGGATTACCTTTTTTTCTTTCCTGTATTTTTAAAAGACATTATCAGCTGAATAGTTCTAATTGTGATTCTCCACTTCTATCTATTATTTCTCATTTCCTATGAACATGAGCACTTGAAGGCCAAGGTGATCTTCCAATACCATTCTTGGGGACCCTTGAGCATGGTCTCTGCCCTCCCCAAACCTTTACAGTTAGCTTTGCAAATGACCCAATTATTCACCCAAAACTCTTCTCCTTCTTCAACACCAATTCGAGGGTGACCCAGTCAGATTCTCCAAGTTGGACTCAGGTTCCTTGAAGGTGTTGTTCAAAATCCTCTTTATTAGAAGAGCTCCACCACCCTCACGCAGCAAGGTCACTGGAGAATAGAAATTGAGTCACACTTTGTTATGTATTTATAAAAGAATACAAAAGTGATAAGTACTATTTAATTGTTTAAAATTAAATTGAATTCAATTCAATTGTGTATCTACAGAATTTACATGCACTCAACATCTAGCCAAGAGTATGGATCAATGAATAATGGCTAAGTGAACAAAAGAACCTGACAATATCAGATTATTCAACAGTAACATGAAAGAGAAGTCAATGTGTGAGTCCTACAAGGCCTGATTTATGAAACCAGTCTTAGAAAACTTTTAGTTGTGTTTCTGAAAACCTCCCACCCCAGCCCAACCCCAGGAAAGGACCTAGAATATTTAATTGTAAGAATAGTGGGAAAGAACTCTGC